CACCCATCTGGGAGACCTGGAGAAGGTTCCTGGCTCCTGGTTTCAGATGGGTTTAGCACCGGCCATTGTGGTCCCTTGAGGAGTGAACCATCAGAAGGAAGATCTCCCTCTCTGTCTCTCCTCCTCTATGTATATCTGACTTTGCAATAATAAATAAATCAATCTTTAAAAAATAAGATTTTACTTATTTGAAAAGCAGAATGACAAACACAGAGAGACAATGAAAGAGCTCTTTCACCCACTGGGTCACTTCCTAATGGCTACAATGGCCAGAGCAGGTCTAGGCCAAAGTCAGGAGCCTGGAGCTCCATCTGGGTGGCCCATGTGGGTGGCAGGAACCCAAACACACTATCATTTGTTATCTTTCCAGGCATATTGGCAGAGCAGTTGGTACTGAAACCAGCTTTTTTAATTTAAAGATTTATTTTATTTTTTATTGGAAAGGCGGATATACAGAGAGGAAGATTCTCTGTTCGACGATTTACTCCCCAAGTGAGCGCAACGACCGATGCTATGCCAATCCAAAGCCAGGAGCCTCTTCTGGGTCTCCCACGCGGGTGCAGGGTCCCAAAGCCTTGGGCTGTCCTCGACTGCTTTCGCGGAAGGGAAGTGAGGCTGCCGGGATAGAACCGGCGCCCATATGGGATCCTGGGCATGCAAGGCGAGGACCTTAACCACTACGCCACCACGCCGGGCCCCAAAAAGAGAGATTTATTTTCATTTGAAAGGTAGATTTCACAGTGAGAGAAGAGAAATACAGAGAGAGTGTCTTCCATCTATTGGTTCACTCCACAAATGGTCACAATCGCCAAAGCTGAGCTGATCTGAAGTTGAGAGCCAGGAGCTTCTTCCAGGTTTCCAACATAGACACAGGGTCCCAAGACCATCCTCTGCCACCTTTCCAGGCCACAAGCAGAGAGCTAGCTCAGAAGTGGGCAGCCAGAACATGAGCCAGTGCCCACAAGGGATGCCAATGCCATGGGGTAATTAGCTTGATGTGCCACCATGCCAGCCCCACAAATGCTTTGATAAGGCCATCCTGTCTTTCCAAACCCTTCCATGGTTCCCCACTATCCGTGGGTTAAAGTCCAAGCTCCCTGAATGTATGAGGCTTTGGAACATTTCTCTTCTGCCGGTGGCGTCCCAGCTGCTACTCCTGACATCACTGGAGGCCTTTAGTTCCAAGCTGCAGGAGTTCCCCCTGCCTCTTCCTGCTTTCTCTCTCACACAGACACAGAGGTACATAAGTTAACAGGACCTACAGAACACTTCAACAGGCCTTGCACACAACGAGCGTCATGTTTACTATGATTCTTAGTCTGTTTGGTAACAGTTATTACACTTTTTCCCCCACGTGATTCATTTCGACTGAGATACCTACTCAGTGCAAAGTCCTCTAGGAGGCAACAAGGAGAGGTGGCCCACCTGGCAGAGCCCTTGGCCCAGGAAACTCAGAATGGATGTTCATGTCACCATGGAATGTGCAGTGGTGTCCACCTAAGGCCAGACAGGCGGGTGATCTTCCCAAAAGCACACAGGGGTTGAGAACACGAGGCCGGTGTGAAGTGGAGGCAGCTGAGTGGGAAGTGGGTGGTGGGCACACACTGCTGGGACAGAGCCAGGGTTGCTCAGGCCAGAAAACAGCGGGGACTGTCTTTGCTGCTTCAGAAGGAAAGGGTGGGTTCCTTGTCCCCACCCCGGCACTCCCTCTCCCCTGTCCCACCCCAGCGCCGTTGTTTAAAATAGTTTACTTTATTTTAATATTACAAAGGTAAGCAGGTTGCAGACTCATGTGGGCCCCAGATTAGGATGGAAGGAAATATTTCAATTTCCCTCCCAGGTTCTGCAGAGGGGAAAGGAAGGAAGAAGTACACTGCTCCTTGCTGTCCAACCACATCAGGGATGAAGACAGTCTTTTGATGTCACCTTAGAGACTCTGTAAAGGTGGTGGTGGTGGGGATGTTCCAAGGGTGTTACTTAAGTGGTCTTGATTGTTCTCAGAAGTTGTCAGCTTCATCACACCAGAGGTGAAAAATTTGTTCTAAGACCTGTTGGCTGTCCATGTCTACCTCAGTATGTCCACAGACCTAGGTGCTTGCTGTAAGGCCCGGCCTGGCGTGTTGTTCAACTTGCCCTCTTTTCCATCCTTTGAAGAAGCACTCAAAGTCCTCTGCTGGATTAGATGAACCAGCTGCCTTTTGTGTGCATCTGGGTATGCTTTCTATCCAGCAACTGAGGTGCAGTGGCCTGGTCCATGGTAGCCCTTAGAAATCATTTCACACATGTCAAACCCCTCAGTTACCCCCCCATTCCAGTTATCCCCCTTCCTCTGGGAATGTGCACCCCAGCCATTCCTGCAGGCCTGGGGTGGGCAGCCTCATGCCCCCATCCCACTCTTGCAGAAGGAAAGGGCAGGTCCCTGCTTAACCACAGCCCCCTCTCCCTTGCCCCCAGGCCAGCACCCTTCTCAAAGCTGGGGCACAATCCTTAGCAAAGGGTGGAGGCCTCAGTGAGACAAGGGGCCTTCTGGGAGAGAAGTGGGGTGCCACTATGGCTGAGGATGAGGGTTTCTACCAGGGACAGGAGTGCAGTAGAGGCCCCAGAACAGACAGACTACAACAGGTAGTAGAGGCTAGACCAGGAGGTCTGGGTGATCACGAGGCTGGGGGGCGACAGGGAGTGAGGTCTCCTCCAGGGGCCTGAGATCTCAGAGGGAGAATTCAGGAAGGGGCCAGGTGTCCGGGGAGCTGCAAGGGCCACAGTCTGCAAAGGCAGTCCCCCACCCCCGTCTGGCGCCCCCTCCTCCTCCTTCCGCCCCCGTGCCACCCCCGCCCGGGAGTGCAGCGCAGGCGCGAGCCCAGATCGCGTTGGCTCTGACTCCAGCTCGCTCCTTCGCTCGCTGCTGTCTCGGTGGATCCCGCAGGCAGAGGTGAGCTCAGCAAACGCCCCTCGCCCTCACTCACCTCCCTGAGGCTCTCAGATCCCTCTCGTCCCCTGCGGTGTCCCGCCTGGGACAGGACTCCGCGCTTGGCGGGGATGCGGGGAATCTGGAGCCTGGCCCTTGGTTGCAGAACACCTTAGGTGGGCGGGATCTCTCAGGCTAGCTCTAAAGGCCCAGTCCTCCCCCTCTCTGCCTCAGTTTCTCTCCAGGGGAAGGGACGCGGCTCTCCTCACAGGGGTCGGATCAGGAATCGGGATGCAGTGAAGGAGGTGTGCCGAGCGATGGAGCCTTGGCCTGATTCCCCCTCCCCTCGCCATAACCCCCGGGAGGGTGCCCTTTTTCGAGGCCAGGGCAGCGTCTGGGAATGAGCGGGTCTGGGGCTGGCAAGGATAGCGGCGAAGCGGCGCCGAGGCTTTAATCTGTCGCCTCCGCCGCAATATCCCTCCAACTCCCCTACCGTGGACCCCCCTCCTCTTCCCGCTTCTGCCCACCAAGTTCCTCCCGGCAGGAAAGGCGCACCTCCCGAGGTTTCCATGGCAACCCTGCCGGATCCGCGCCATCTTCTCTCCCTCCTCCCCTCCGACCTCCTCCCGGCATCCCTAAAGGAGCGGGAGGGGCGCAGCCCGGGGAGGCCCAGCCAAGGTCACCTTCATGCTCTGGCACAGCCTGCCGCGGGGGCGCGGGGCTGACCCGGCCTAATGGCCCGGAGCCCCGTCCCGACCCTCTTCCCTGGAGTCCCTCATTCACTGGGACCGACGCTCCAACCGGCGCCCGGGTCCCTACCGCTCTTCGCCAAAGTCCTCCAGCGCCTCCACCAGGGAGGCGCTCCCGCGGGTCAAACCCGCAGCAGATCCCGCCCTCCAGTCTGCCTGCCAGCCCGGCACCGGGACTCCACCCAGGCCTCTCCGCTCATGCCTCAGCTTGTCCTCCCTTCTGGCTCCGCCGGGGCTCACTCACTTTAAATAATTATGATCCTTGGGGCGCGCGTCCCTGAGCTGCGAGGGGATGAGAGGCTGAAGGGACAGGCCTCACGGATCGCAGTTAAGGGACTGCTCGGCTGCGCATGGATGTGCGTGTGTTTGTTCTTTCTGCTTCTCTGTATTTCCCTGCGTGTATATATATTTCTCTATGAGGTATTTCTCTGCAGAGTGCTTGTGTGGGCGTGCACACGTGCCTGTACATCTCCAGGCAGGGCTGTGCGGTCCCTCCTGGTGGGAGGAGAGGTGGGCTGGCAGTGTCCTTCCCATCCGCTGCGCCCTCCCCACCAGAATAAACTGTGGTTTTATGGACGCTCTCAGAGGGGCTGAGGGCCATGGCGGGGAAAGAGGGAGTAACAGAAGCTGGGTCCTTTCTGGCCTCTCCTGGCCCTGCATTTGACCCCCTAGGGGGGACCCACAGACCTCTTCTCCTGGGGGTGCAGGTGGGTCTCCCCAGATGCTCCGTCACCTCCTGTGGAGTCTAGATCCGGTGGAACACTGAGAAGGCCTCCCTGAAGAGAGGCCTTTAAGGGCCTTGCAGCGTGGGGATGGGGCGGTGTCCGGATGACAGTTACCAAGCAGGGCTTTGTGGGGGTGGGGGGAGAGGAAGGGCCTTTTGCTGCAACTGCGGAGCCCAGAGGGTTCAAATCCTAACAAGACCTGGTAATGACCCTTCCTCGGCACCAGGCACGATTCTCTCTCACAGCTGGGAAAGCTGATGATCAGAGAGGCCGAAGCACTTGTCTGATGTCACACAGCAAGGAGACAGTGGGGTTGGGATGCACAGGGCAGCCATGCTCTGGAACCCACAGTACAGTGACCTCCAGCCCAGACATGCACCTCATGCGGACAAATCAGCCTGCTAAGATCACTTAGCCTGGCTCAGGGCTAAGGGCTCCGGAGCAGAGGCTGCTCACAGAGGACCTGGGAGAAGGGGGTCCAGGCAGGAGCCCAGTAGGCCAGGCTGTGCTATGGGCGTGAGGTGGAAAGTGTCCCGGAGATGGAGAGGGCCACGTGGGCAGCTCCCACCGACTTCTCGATCTAACACCCTGCTTGCCTGCACCCCTCCCCAGGGCTCCAGGATGCCAAGCTATACTCCCTCCTGCGGCTGTAGCCGTGGCACCAGCGTGGAGGGCAGCAAGTGGTATGGGGTCCGCTCCTATCTGAATCTCTTCTATGAGGACTGCGCAGGGACTGCCCTCAGTGATGACCCCGAGGGACCCCCAGTCCTGTGTCCCCGCCGACCCTGGCCCTCGCTGTGCTGGAAGGTAAGGCCAAAGAAGTGACTGTTGTGATTTCTGGGGCTGAAAGTGAGCTTCAGAGCGTAGAAAGGGCTCCACTGGCAGTTTGGAGTCTGTTAGAGTGACGTGAATTCCAGCTCACCTGGGTGTGATTAAGGGAGAGCCTGGTCCTACTCTAGGCAGAGTTTGATCAAGCAGATAACCCAGCACACCAAATGCTGCAGTTTCTGAGTCTCCAGTCGCTGGCCCCTTTGTAACCTGTGAGCCTCAGGCTCCGCCCAAGGTCCTCCAAGTGGTCGCCCCACAAGTCGACCTTCAGACTGCCTAGGGAAGTGAGAGCTTCCTCCAGCGTTTCCTTAAGAGACAATGCGGAGTAGCCAGAAACTAAACACACACGAACACCAGCAGAAAGCAAAGCCCAGGCACGGAGCTCCCACGGAGAGGGGGACGCGGCTCATGTCTGCCAAAGGCAAGGACGAACTACACAGCCGAGCGAGCTGGGGAAGACTACAAGAGCACATCGTTCCGTGGGTTTTCCACAGCCTCATTATGCAGATTATGGGGGGAGGGGGAGTGCAGAAGAACTAGGATGGCCAGGAATATAAATGCCACTAACCAGAAACTGTGTGTCATTCTGAGTCCTGGCTCACCCTGGTCACTCACCAGCCCTGAACTAATGACTATGACCTGGGGAGGGGACCTGCTGACTGGTAGGAAGTAGGGGTCATCTGACTTAATTTTTTTTAAACAATTAATTTATTAGGAAGACAGAATTACAGAGAGGAGAGACAGAGAAAATCTCCCATTTGCTGTTTCACTCCCCAAAATGGCTACAATGATCAGGACTGGGCCAAACTGAAGCCAGGAGCCCGGAGCTTCCTCCAGGTCTCCCACATCCCCAGGGACCCAAGGCCTTTGGGCCATCCTCCACTGATTTCTCAGGCCATCAGCAGGCAAGCAGGTTCAGAAGTGGAACAGCCAGGACTTGAACCGGTGCCTACATGGGTGTCAGCTTTGCAGGCAGAGGCTTCGTTTGCTATGCCACAATGCCACATCCTATCTCACTTAAACTTCACAGTGATTTCCCAGTGCCAAACTGGGTTATCATTGTCAGCGTAATGGGAAGATGAGAGACAAGCAGACAGTTGAGGGTGTCGCTCCAGTAGGAAGGTGATGTCCCCAGCTGCATGATGACATCGGGTCAGGTGTGCAGGAAGTTGTAGCTGGGGTTCATGCAGTCATTCGCGAATATGTGTCATCCTCTGCACCAGGCTAGGCACAGAAGCCACCTAATGAACGCAGCAAGCAGGTGTCTGCTCCCCCACAGTTCGCTGTCCACTGAGGCAGGCAGGCATCCCAACTGTGCACCCAGGAAGAAGTGCTGAATGCAAATGGATACAGGGTGTGTGCAGAGGGCAGAGTGGGAGACCTGGCAGGGCTGCCCCTAGGAGGGGAGGTTTGCGAGGAGATGGGAGGATACACAGGAGTTAACGCTGCTGGGACACAACAGGTGGACAGCCCTAAGGGACCAGATGGAGCAGGGGTTCTCAGGGTTTGCTGGGGAAGCCAGCTGGGTGTGAGCCAGCAGGGAGGTGGAGGCAAAACCTGGAGACTGCAAACAGAACGTGACAGTTCATGCGTGCTTCCTGCTGGCTAGGTCCCAGCAGGTGTATGCTGTGAGCCCAGCTGGCTCAAGGGGTTACCAGTTGGGTCCCTTGGCTAGGGGCCTCCCACTAACCATGCCTGCCTCTCCCCAGATCAGCCTGTCCTCGGGGACCCTGCTTCTGCTGCTGGGCGTAGCTGCCCTGATAACGGGCTATGCTGTGCCCCCCAAGCTGGAGAGCGTTGGCTTCAGTGAGGCCCCCATCCTGGACCAGCGCGCAGCCGACTACAACCAGGCCCTGGGCACCTGCCGCCTGGCAGGGACTGCGCTATGTGTGGCAGCTGGCATTCTGCTGGCCATCTGCCTCTTCTGGGCTGTGACAGGCTGGCTGAGCCAGGACACCAAGGCAGAGCTCTTGGACGCCGAGGCCGACAGCCCTGGGGAGGTCTTCAAGGACGAGCCAGAGCAGCAGTTTGCGCCTGTCTTCCGCGATGGGGGTGGCCAGTCGTGGTTCTCAACATCCACCGGCCACTCAGGGCAGCCAGTGCAGACCACCCAGCCCACGCGGGACTTGTGAGCTGCCCAGGGTCCCTCATTGTCCTCCCCACCCTCCCTCCCCCTGCCAGCATCTCCTGACCCTTCCCTGTTGGCAGGCCCCCACTCAATCAAACCCCTGGAAGATCCAAATCCTGGTCAAGTTTGGGCCTCAAATCCCTGCGTGCTCCCCCAGTCCCTTGTGGGGTGAGGAGTGGGGAAGAGCTCTGACTCAGCCGAGATGGCAGCCTTCAAGTCTTCCTGAGACATCTGGCTCCAGGTCCTTGGGGGCAGCAACCATGGCTCTCCACCTGCTCCCACTATTCTTCTGTGACTCCAGGCCCTTGTCCCTTCAGACTGTCAGGAGAGTGGACCTGATCCTGTGACTTCCCTGTCCTCCCTGCATTTGAGAACTACCCCCTCAGGAGACAGAGAGGGAGGAGATATCCTCACCTCCACTCCCATCTCCCCCACCCTCTGTTTTAGGATGGGCCCATAGGCTCTCAGTGTGCAAGGCTGGCCCCTCCCCCTGAGCCCCAGATCCACCCCCATGGGCAGTTGCTAATCCCAGTCTGCAGGTGGAAGGGCGGGGCGAGGCGAAGGTCATGTGTCCAAGGTCACGCTGTGCACTGTGGGACCTCAGGGATCAGGGACAGAGAAACTAGCAGGAGCTCATGGTCCCCAAGCTGGACATGGACCGAAGAGGTCTCTCCAAGGAGTAGAAGAAATGGGATGCCGTTGCCCTCGGCGTGCGCCTCCCTGGAAACCGCTGTTTCCAAGCCCTGACCCTGGGGACAAACGTGCGCTCCGGGCGGGGGCAGTCAGTCCCAGAGGCCGCACCTCCGGTCGGTTCCACTAGGCGGAGCTGCGGGACAGCTGGCGAGAAGAGCTTGAGGATTCCGCTCCTGCGCGGGCCCTTGAGGGTCCTTAGCCCCGCCCAGGAGGCAGGAGACTGCAGGCCTGGCGCACCCCTCCCTCACCCATTGCGTCCCACCTTCCCTTCCAATAAACAGCCGGGATGGACTCGAATGCTTCCTTTCTACCCTCGGGCTGGGGCTTGGGGAGGGACGACGACCCTGTCTCCCTGACACATACGTGAGTTGGCCCTCTCGCAGAGCGCAGCCCAGGAGAAAGCCTTCCTGCCCGCTAGTCCCGAAGGGAGAGGGAGGGCGTGGAGAGGACGCTCCCTGCCAGTCCTGGTCCAGGGCCTTCCATAACCCCAGCCAACCTCTGTGGGGACTGCTCTGGCCAAGCCACCTCCCCGGCCGCAGGCTGCGTGGGCTCCAGCTCCTTGGACTCAGCCCTCCTAACCTCATGCGCCCTTGTGGTGCGGGCTCCATCCTTGGGAGTTGTCCAGCCTCGGGTTTCAGGGAATCCCATCAACTCAGCCTGGTAGATAAATCCAGCAGGCCACCCACTGCCGCAGCCACCTCTCACTGTCCCGAGCCAGGGAGCCACCTCCAGCTTCCACTCTCACCTACTGTCCACTCTGTGGCTCCCCCTTTTCCTGCTCTCCCGGACCCCACCTTTTGCATACCCCGCCCACATGCGTGACCACTCCGCAGATCTGATCTCTAAGGAGTGGTCAGGGAGATGATCCCCTGAGGACCCAGGTGAGGTCAAGTCCCTCCCAGAATTCCTCCCTAACTCAGAGTACAACCCAGGACCTGGCCAGCCAGGGGAAGAGTCCACCAAGGTTCCTGCTGCAGGAGAGCCTGGGCCATTTTCTCATCTCAAGGAAGCCTGGGTTTGCCTTTGTTTATTTTTATTTGAAAGGTAGTTACAGAGAGAGAGGAGAGACAGAGAGAGATCCTCCATCCACTGATTCATTCCCAAATAGCCCCAATTGCCAGAGCTGAGCTGAAACAAAGCCAGGAGCCAAGAGCTTCCTCCAGGTCTTGCAGGTAGGTGCAGAGGCCCAAGGACTTGAAGACATCTTCAACTGCTTTCCCAAGGCGTAAGCAGGGAGCTGGATGGGGAGTGCAGCAGCTGGGACATGAACGCCTGAATCAGTGCCCAAATGGGATCCCAGTGTGTGCAAGGTGAGGATTTAGCCACTAGGCTAATGCTGGGCCCCTTCCACAGGTTCTTAAATAAGCAAGTTAGCTGCCTAGGTGCACACACCGACACACCAGGAGGAGCTGAGAAAGGTGGCTGACAAGGCCACACCTGCAGGATGCAGCCCCCTTCTCAGCCAAGCAGTAACATATGGATTTACCAAGGGCCAAAGGAACCTATAGCATTCCGTTCGTAGCACATTATAAGGTATATTCCTTATTCTCCTAAACCCCACCTCTGTTGCTTATTACAGTCCCCTGATAAAGACGACACCTCCCATTTCCCAGGAGGGACTTCCCTGACCTGCTGTCTGTGCTGGACCTGTGAACCTCACCTGTGAGCGCTGCCAATAAAGCCTGTTTTAAGTTGAACTTTATTCTGTGTGGATTTCTGGTCCTGCACATGAACTCGAGCCTTACAACTATATCTAAGTAAGGATGGCTCAGAGAAATGAAGTGACTTGGCCGAACTCACACGAGAGAAGGCTGGGATCCAAACCCCAATCCTCTCATAAAGGGTGGTAGGGCTCACCTCTACGTGGCGTGGATGTATCCACAAGTGGATTCACTTTGGCACAGCCTGTGATCTTGTCCACAACACCTCCCTGTGTGGGTCGGTTCCCAGGCTTGAGAGCTTCCTGTTCTAGCCTCATGAAGAGCTCAGACACACACACACACACACACACACACACACACACACACACACACACACACACATCAAAGCCAGCTCTGGGCCCTGGGCCATGATGGCCCTGATGATGGAAGAACTCACAGGATTTCATAAGCATCTGCCCCAGGGTTCCATAAAGAAGGGAGAAAAACAGGCTGTTCAGCAGTTCGGGGCAGATCGCAGGCCAGGAGCCGTAGCCCCAGGGCACTCAGCAGGTGCGTGCAGGGTGAGTGCTGACTGAGCCAAGGAGGGGGAAGCTTCCTGGAGGTCCTGGGCAAGGTGGCAAATAGAGGAATTAAAGAGTGAGGGGTGACTCGGTCCACTGACATAAAGGAGGGAGGAATTTAGTTTTTCTGCAGTTTTAAAAAATATGTACTTATAAGGGCTCAGCGCGGTGGCCTAGCAGCTAAAGCCTTGAATGCGCCAGAATCCCATATGGGCACCGGTTCTAATCCCAGCAAACCAGCTTCCCATCCAGCTCCCTGCTTGTAGCCTGGGAAAGCAGTCTAGCACGGTCCAAAGCCTTGGGACCCTCTACCCACATGGGAGACCTGGAAGAGGCTTCTGGCTCCTGATTTCAGATTGGTGCAGCACCAGCCATTGTGGTCACTTGGGGAATGAATCATTGGATGGAGGATCTTCCTCTCTGTCTCTCCTCCTCTCTGTATATCTGACTTTACAATAAACATAGATAAATCTTACAAAAATATGTGTTTATGACAAAACAAAAAATATGTATTTATGGGCCTAGTAGCCCAGTGGCTAAAGTTCTCACTTAGCACGTCCAGGATCCCATATGGATGCCAATTCTAATCCTGGCAGCTCCACTTCCCTTTCAGCTCCCTGCTTGTGGCCTGGGAAAGCAGTCGAGGATGGCCCAAAGCCTTGGGACCTTGTACCTATGCGGGAGACCCAGAAAAAGCTCTTGGCTCCTGGTTTCAGATCTGCTCAGCTCCAGCTGTTGCGGCTACTGAGGAAGTGAACCAGTGGGTAGGAGATCTTTCTCTTTGTCTTTCACTCTGTAAATCTGACTTCCCAATAAAATAAATAAATGTTAAAAATATATGTATTTACTTATTTGAAAGTCAGTTACAAAGCAGGAAAAACAGAGAAAGAGAAAGACTCTTTCATCCAGTAGTTCTCTTTCCAAATAGCCACAATGGCCAGAGTTGGGCCCGTCCAAAGCCAGGAGCTAGGAGCTTCATCTGGCTCTCTCACGTGAGAGCACTTGGGCTGTCTCATGCTGCTTTCCCAGGCGCATTAGCAGGAAGCCGAAAGAGAAGCTGAGCTGCACCGCAATGCCAGAACTCAGGATTCAACAGTTAACCAATCACGTGTGATGAGCTGGTCTGCGTCATTCCCTGCTGGCTCCCAGCAGCCCTTTCAGAAGCCATCAAAGCTCCTCGCCCTCTGAGGCCTCTCCCACAGACGTGTGTTCTCACTCCAAGGCAGTCCCCAACTCACCAAGCCAGCTCTGCTTGGAGCCTTGACGCAAGCTGCTCTCTGCCTTGTGCCCATCTGGAGAGCAGTAGACCTTTGCTCCACCCCGCCCTTCCCTTCCCTCCTCCTCTTTCTCTTTCATTATTATTGTTTTTAAAGACCTGTTTACTAGGCCCAGCACGGTGGCCTAGTGGGTAAAGTCCTCGCCCTGCACATGCTGGGATCCCATATAGGCAGCTTCATATCCTGGTTGCTACACTTCCCTTCCAGCTCCCTGCTTGAGGCCTCAGAAAGCAATGGAGAATGGCCCAAAACCTTGGGATCCTGCACCCATGTGGGAGACCTGGAAGAAGTTCCTGGAACCTGGCTGTTGTGGTCATTTGGGGAGAGAATCATCCGATGGAAGATCTTTCTCTCTGTCTCTCCCTCTCTCTGTATATCTGACTTTGTGATAAAAATAAAATAAATTCTTAAAAATTTAAAAAAAAAAAAGATCTTTCTCTCTTTATCTCTTTCTCTCTGTGTATCTGACTTTCCAATAAAAATTTTAAAAATCTTTTTTAAAAAAGAAGACATATTTACTGTTTTTGGAAAGGCAGATCAGATTTATGGACAGAAGGAGATACAGAGAGAAAGATCTTCCCTCCACTGGTTCACTCCCCAGATGGCCACAATGGTCAGAGCTGAGCTTATCCGAAGCCAGCATCAGCTCCTAGGCTGATTAGAGACTGGGTGGCTGGGGCTCTGTTTATCTTCCCAGCACAGGAAAACAAACCCATTTCCTGTAGGCCTGGAGCTGGAAGGAACACTTCCAGAAGGGGGTTCACTCTTACCCCCTGCCTTCCTCCTCCCACCACCTCTCCTGGGCAGCCCTGACCTCAGTGAGCTGCAACCCCACCGCTTGACTCAGCACCTGCCCCTGACTATGCCCCAAGGGCAGCTTTCACCTTGCTAATCAGAAGGCTCTACCTTCAGCCCAGCCCCTTTCCTTGACCAGAGGGGGAAGAGGGAGAAAGGAGGGAATAGCAGGTGCAGGGAGCTCCTGTGGTTGAACAGCAGCCCCCTGAGGTCTACAGAAAGCACAGGTGAGCCAGGCTGGCAGTAAGGGCTGAGGCTGATCCAGTCTCAGGCCAGATGCATTAGGGGCTAATTTTGTCTCCAGGTCTGTGATTCAGTCTGATGCTAGCACTGAAATACAGGTCACCGAGCGGGGGTGGAAAAGGGCAGGTTGCCCGGTCACTGATCAAATCATGTTCAGTTCAGGGACAGGGTCATGGCCAGTGGTCAGTGTTTCAGACCACACTCAGCAGAAGCCCAAAGTGGGTAATGGGGCTTTTTCTACCAAAAGAACTAGGCTCAGTTCCCGAGCCCAACCTTTTCTCTGTCTCCAGGGAGGGACCTTGAATTGGGGTGGGTTCTGCATTCCCCAAAGAGCTCCTTCCAGCCCTAAGTTCCATCACCTGCGTGCCCTCCCTCATCCATCTCTTCACTTTTCCCCGGCTCCTGCCTGTTAGGCCCGACAGATCTCACTGTGGCCACCCAGGGTGGGCAGGGGCCTATAGGGGCTGAAGATAGAGCTCTGTGCCTGGCCCAGGCCCAGGGGGAACCACCTTGCTCAAAGTTTTCTGATGCAACTGGCTGCACATCCTGCCCTGCCCCCACCTGCTTTTCTCAGAAAGGGAAGGGCTGGCAGTGGCCTTGCTGGAGCACACATGGTCCCTGTCCTTCCCTGGCCTCTGATGACTTCAGGATTTGCAACAGGCAGGCAAGAAAAAAGGAGGTCAGGGCAGCAGGCCGATGACTCAGCAGCAACTCGGCAGCTGGGCACGGGCAGCCCTGGGAATCCTTCCTCCCACAATCCAGTAACTGTAGCCAGGCCAGGCAGAACCACAGAGGCTGTCCCCCTGCTGCTCTCAACCCTGCACTCCCGCAGGAGGGAGAGGACCCTGGCCCTTAGCAAGCACCTGATGACCTTCTGCCCCTCCCCACCAGGCCCCTGAGGCCAAAGGTCACCGGGCTGCACAGCCATAGGCCCAGGACAGACCCAGCACCCATAGGTGCACGGCAGAGGCTACGACGTACACAGGTGTCACCAGGAAGCATGAGCACTTGGTGGGCACAGCCGCAGGAGCCATGCTCAGGAGACATGCTTGCCTCTGCCATTCCCCAGGCTTTGCTGGATTGTGTGTATGTTGGGGAGAGTGTCTATGTTAGTGTGTGTGTGTGTGTGTTGGGGCATTAGTGCTTTGGGATGTGTGTGTGTGTTAGGGTATGTATAAGTTGGGGTGTATATGTCTTGGGGTGTGTATGTGTTGGAATGTGTGTATTGAGGCATGTGTACACTGGGGTGTGTTGGGGGTGTGTGTGCACATGTCCTGGCTTTTGGAAATCATGACAGATTAGATTTTTTTGCGGTCAGATATACAGAGAGGAAGGTCTTCCGTCCAGTGATTCACTCAAGTGACCTCAATGGCCGGTGCTGCACCAATCCAAAGCCAGGAGCCAGGAATCTCCTCCCACACGGGTGGAGGGTCCCAAGGCTTTGGGCTGTCCTCCACTGCCCTCCCAGGCCACAAGCAGGGAACTGGATGGGAAGTGGAGCTGCTGGAATTAGAACCGGTGCCCATATGGGATCCTAGTACATTCAAGGTGAGGATGTTAGCTGCTAGGCCACTGCGCTGGGCCCAAATAAATAAGGAAATCTTCAAACAAGCTACTGGTAACAGTGGCCATTACCGTCATGTCGCTGCTGAACACTTGAAGTATAACCACCGCCACTGAAAAATTGAACTTCTTGTGTGTGTGCAGAGCAGAGCATCAAGTGAAGTGCTAAAACTTCTTTTTATTATTAAACTTGGGAGGCAGTGAACACGAGAACAGGTGTGGGGGTGGGGAATGGGCTCCCGCACTCTCGCTCAGTTCCGGAAGCTCACAGTGACTGGGCTTGAAGCTGGGAGTCAAGAACTTAGGGCAGATTTCGTAGCTGCTGACAGGGCTATGAGTGCGTGAGCCGTCATCACTTGCTATCTGCCAGGTGCACGCTGGCAGGAAGCTGGGATTGGAACTGGAGCCAGGACTCGAACCCAGGCACTCCACAACGTGGGATGCAGGCATCACACCCATACTCTCCATCACTGTGCCAAAACTGAGCCCTAAACACCACCCACCTGCGGATACTTCCTCTCTGGCCCCCATCATGCTGGAGGACAAATCTATCCTGTTGCTACATTTTTTTCCCCTTTCATGTCAGGAAAATACGCGACCCTTTTGTAATCTGTTTTAAATAATCTTGCCCATTGCTTTTATTGTCTAATCAGTCTCCCTGCTGATTTATATAAGCCTTTAGAACAGGGCCTGGCACAGCACAGGACAAAGGCAGGCATGTGTGGGGACATCCCCCAGCCGAGGGCTGGCTTCAGAGGGGGCTAAGAAAACAGCCAGCGCTTACAGTAGCCAGCCCGCTGCACCTGTCCTGCTGGACATGACTTCATTCAACCCCTCTCCAGCAGGGGAGTCACAGATCCCAGAATGCGCTGGGGTGCTGAGGGAAAGGAGCTCCAAGATCCTGGGGGAGCTGGTCTCTGGGATTCTAGAACCAGGGAACTGAGGTGGCTTGAAGGCCCGGGTGCAAGTCCAATAGGAGGCTGCTCTCTCTCAGTGGCCAAACTCTGTTTTTTTGTTGTTTTTTTTTTTTAAATATTTATTCGAAAGGCAGAGGTATTTTACTTTAGTTTTAGTCATTGTTTAAACCTAGTTATGGAGGAAAAGAGATGTTCCATCCAATGGTTTACTCCCCAAATGGCAACAGCTGTCAAAACCAGGATTCAGGAACTCTGAGATTCAGGCAAAACAACTTATTTCCAGGTCAGAGAGCGGACGAGCTCCAGCCCTGCGGATCCCAGAGGCCCTGGTGCGCAGGAAGGCGGGGTCCCCAGGGCGGCGGGCGGAGCCGGCGAGGCGGGGCGCACGGGTGGTGCAATCGGCTGCCCGAGGGCGTCAGGCTGTGGCCGATTAGCTCAGGTTTACATCACCCGGACCGGGATCCGGGCCGGCGCCGGAGCCCGCCAGACATTCGCAGCGGGAACGGCGGCCGCTCCAAGCACACTTGTTCTCTGCTGGTAGTCCGGGACGGGACATTCACCTGTTGGAACCCACGGGCGCGGCAGGAGAGGCGGCCTGGGCCAAGGGGGCGTCCGCGCGTTCCACACACGCGTCTTTCATCAGCTCCGCCGTCTGAGCAGGCCGGGGGCCCAAGGTTCTCCCCGGGTCTCGGGTGACGCAGAGTGGGAACGGAGCGTGTCCCCGGAGACTCAGGTGTCCGGCTGTCGCCGCCGAGTGGGGTGTGCTGCCTCTGTGGGACCTGGTGGAGGTGAGCAAGGGGCGCTCGCTGGGCCATCGAAGGGCTATGTAGGGTCTGTGTGTGTGTGTATGCGCGCGCGCGTGTGGCAGGGTGCAGGGATCTGTGGGTTCCGCGTGAGTGCGGGGGGGGGGGCGGGGGAGGCCTGGGCGGGGTGTCTCTCGGGGGGATCCATATCTCAGAGCACAGTGAACTACAGGGAGAGCCGGGCTCCTGTGACAGCGCACAGTACATGCAGTACCCGGGGCGGAGCAGGGCACACCTCCCGGCCTGGGACCCCACCTCCTTCCCCCATCCCTGCGCCTGCAGACCCCAAACACCTGCCGCCATGAAGGGCAGGAGGGGAAGGACTGGCCGCCCCTGGCAGTGAGCACCCCGGGAAGGCCACTTAACGGTGTGTGTGACCCTGGCTTAAGGGCTTGGACAACGTGTGCTGGGGAGAGGTTTGGTGTAACCCGCCCCCATCTTCCCTCACTCCCACCTATGGCGGGACTCAGAAGGCTTGGGCTTCCACCTGCTTCTCCTTTGAGGGTGAAGTGGAGCTGTGAGGTGGGCCAGCGCTGCACAGGGAACAAAGGGGGGTGGCGCCCCAGGACTGCAACCAGCTTGGGTCCTTCTCGCAGTAGAAACTTAACCTCTGCAGAAAACAAACACCCTGGTTTGAAATCTCATTGTTGAAAGAGAAAATATCTTCACCTGTCCACTGCAACACTTCCTTCTCTAGGTGACGGGGAGATACTGAGGCCAGTCTGGTCGCGGTTCTTCCAGACCCTTCCTGTGCAGAACCGCTAGAGCAGAGATGTCTTTCTCTCTGTCTCTCCTCTTTGTGTAAATATCTTTCAAATAAAAAGTAAATCTTAAATTGTTTTGAATTTGATCTGTTTGAACGAGAGATGTCTTTCTCTCTGTCTCTCCAAAGAGGAGAGACCCAAGCACTGGAACCATCACCTGCTGCCTTCCAGGGTGCGCATCAGCAGGCAGCTGCGTCAGCAGTGGAGCAGCTGGGACGCCAACCGATAGCTTGAAATGGGGTGTCAGCACCGGTAGAGGTGGCTTAACCTGCTGAACCCTTCCTGCCCCGACTGTTCTAACAAGTCTTCTGGGTGATTCCAGTGCCTACTCAAGTTGGAGAACCGCAGGGCCAGGATGTGTTTGTGCCCACCCCCCGACCCAGCTGAACTCTCCTCAGGGCCCAAACGGGCACCGCCTCTGCCGGGAAGCTTCCCTTAGCCCGTCAGCTTAGGAGACAGAACCTCGGCGGGTTCCTGAGATGGGCCTGGGGCCACACGGAGCTTTATGATGACTTGGCCACCCTCCAATGGCCTGTAAGATCCCAAGGGTGAGATTTTGCTTCCTGAGCAGCTGCCCAGGGCCGGGCTCAGGGCAGATGCCCGTGTGTGCTGAGTGTCAGAAGCAGGGGGAGGATGGCAGATGGACTGGCTTTCTTTATTCTGGATTTCAGGAACACTGCATCTCTAAACAGGTACTTGTTTCTAAGCAGGAAATGCATCTACATAGGTCAAGAATTTAAAAGCATAAAAGCAAAAGATCCTTTTAGCCTTTCTTTTTTTTTTAAAAAAAAAAGGTTTATTTTTATTGCTAAAGATTTATTTATTTTTACTGCAAAGAAAGATATATATATACAGAGAGGAGGAGAGACAGAGAGGAAGATCTGTCCAATGATTCATTCCCCAAGTAACCACAATGGCCAGAGCTGATCCAAAGCCAGAAGCCAGGAACCTCTTCTGGGTCTCTCACGTGGGTGCAAGGTCCCAAGGCCTTGGGCCATGCTCGACTGCTTTCCCAGGCCACAAGCAGGAAGCTGGGTGAGAAATGGGGCTGCCATTAGAACCAGCACCCATATGGGATCCCAGTTCCTTCAAGACGAGGACTTTAGTCACTGGGCCGCTATGCCGGGCCCTTAGCCTTTCTTATTGTGTGCTCTTAGTACCTCTTGCAGATGTTTGGGGTCACATCAGTATTTGAAGAGTTTCCTGGTGCCTTTTTTGGGGGGGCCTGTATAGTATTCCTCCTCCCATGATTTAGCCAGCTATCTGCTGCCTGATATTTGGGGGACGTCCTGCCTTTTGTCATTAGGCGCAAGCCTCTGCTGAACAGCCTTTTGTTTTGTTTTTCTACGAGTAGTTTACCTGGAGGATGAAGTGGGCCACATCACCTTTCAAAGCATGTTGCTAAGTCCTTCCTCTGTTAGGGGAGACACCAGCCCCCACCAGCAGCCTCATCCTAGAGCCTGTCTCTCTTTTCTCCTAGATGCCGGCCGCTCCTGTGGGTTCCAGGAAGAAGTGCTTGGAGCCAGACGATGATTTAGAGGCCAGATGTCCCATCACAAAACGAGCTCGAAGTGGGCCCCAGCCCAAACCATCCCCCTGCCTACTGCCTTTGAGCCCAGCCCCCACCCTACACCCTGCACCTGCTGTGGTCCCAGCCTCCCAGATTGGGCCCTATGTCCTCCTGGAGCCCAAGGAGGGTGGGCGGGGCTACAGGGCCTTGCACCGGCCCACAGGCGTGGAGTACACCTGCAAGGTACTTGCCCAGGGCCTGCCCCCATCCACAGTCCCAGGGCGGCTGCCGGGGCTCGTGTGACCTTTGTGTTCATTCACTGCTGTGTTCATTGTGCCCTTGATGGGTCGAGAGCTGAGAGCCAGAGCAGGCTTGGGCCCAGCCCTGCAGTACTCACAGCTGAGACAGGGCGTTGTGGTGAGTGCTGCGAGGGTGGGTTGAGAGACCCTGGGGATGCAATCCAGGAGCAGGCACTTGGAGTTAGCCTGATAGAAGAGGGAGAGTCCCAGGCAGGGCAAGAATAGTGTTGAGGCCAAAAGGGGCAGGTGCACAGCACAGCAGGGGGTACTGAGTGCAGAGGGGGACAGGGGCGGGCAGTGGAAGCAGCAGGCAGGAACTCCTGCTGTACTGTGGACAGCCACTGCAGGTGTTTGCGCAAGAGGAGTGGAAGATATGGGGATACAACGACACTCCTGGGACCCTGGAGGCGATCAGGAACCCAACCTGTGCCCATTTTACAGATGGGAAAACTGAGGTCAAGAAAGGGGAAGGGCCAAACATGAAGTCACCTAGCACGAGGCTGCAAAAAAGGAATCGAGAAGTCTGATTCCTGACGGGAGTCAGGAAGCTGCAGGCCCAGGCCCCCGGAGGCTCAGCCAGACCAGAAAGACCGAAATGAGGCTAAAAGGTGTACCGATGGGTGCTTACTGTGCACCCAGTACTGTGTGTTTACTGTGCACTGAATACTGTGTTGATTACTTCGTGGGCATAATATCTCAATTTTCACACAACCCACATGCAACAACTCTTGTTAAATATTTACTTCTTTGAAAGGCCAAGTTACAGAGAGAAGTCTTCCATGTGCTGGGTCACTCCTCGGATGCCACAACAGGACAGGAGCAGGACAAAGCCAGAGAAGCTTCTTCTGGGGCTCGAGCACTAGGGCCGCCCTCTACCGCCTTCAAGCTTTTTCCTGTTCATTCTGAGTGGGGAGGCAGCGCCCATGCCAGGAGGAATGACCCAAGCCGGCTAGAGGACGTAGCCACACCCTTTCCCTGGCCCTCGCTCTTGCTCAGATGCATGGGAACAGGGCACTGTGCTGTGCTGACAGCATTCTGTAGGGACTCCAGCAATCTGCGAGTGAATGAGCCAGTGAACTTGAAGCCAGGATCCCAAGTGCAGTGGGGCAAACCAAGCTGGGTGTTACAAGAAATGGTGGAGCAGTGAGGCACAGGTGGCTTAGCTAGGATGGGCAGGGGCATCTCTCTTCCCAGGGACTTTTGAGCTGTGACCCGCGTGGTGACAAGGAAGCAGCCTCAGCACTGTCCGTGGTAGCAGGGACAGGAACAAGGGCACAGAAGTGGGTGTGGGTTTGCCAAACTACAAAGAAAGTCTTTTCCATTTGGAAGTTCTTTCCTCTGTACCACTCCAACTATAATTTTTCCCTTCTACTTTATGAAAAAGCAATGTTTTTTTTTAATTTTGAAGATTGATTTATTTATACAAAAGGTAGAGTGACACAGAGAGATATCAACTTTCTATCCACTGGTTCACTCTCCAAATGTCAGCAACAGCCTGGAACTCCATCCAGGTCTCCCACATGAGTGCAGGGCCCCAAGCATTCGGGTCATCGTCTGTTGCCTTCCCAGGCATCTTAGGGGGGTGGAGGAGTGGCGCTGGATCAGAAGTAGAGGAACAGGTGGCAGATGGGAGGCAGGACTGGAACTGTGCTAATACGGGATGCCAGCATGGCAGGTAATGGCTCATGTGCCGCAGCATAGGTAGTGTGTGTGTGTGTCTGTGCTTAGGGTTTTTGTCCATGGGTTAAATGTGTATATGCTTTTCTATTTGTAAGAAAAGATTTATTTGTTTGTAAAGCAGAGTGACAAGGCAAGAGAGAGAGAGAGAGAGAGAGAGAAAGAAAGAGAGCTTCCAGCTACTGGTTTCACTTCCCAAATGGCTGCTGGAGCGAGGCCTGGATGAAGGCAGGAGCTGGGAACTCTGGGTGTTCCACATCAGTGGTGGGGAGTCAGCCATCTTCCACTGCTTGCCCGGTGCACCAGCAGGGAGCAGAGAGGAAGCAGGAAACCCTGAACTCCAGCCAGCACTGCCATGGCAACTTTACGTGCTGTGCCATAACACCAGCTCCTATGCTTCAAAGTCACATGCAAAACTTCACTTCCAAAATACTCCCTGTCCTAGCGTCACCTTGGTCCCATCACAGCATTCATCAGCATTTATAAACAATTAGCTTGTTGGCTTGCTTTTATCATTTCATGTTAGAATGTGAGTTCCTGGGGACCAGCACCATAGCCTAATGGCTAAAGTCCTCACCTTGAATGTGCCAGGATCCCATATGGGTGCTGGTTCTAATCCCGGCAGACCCACTACCCATCCAGCTCCATGCTTGTGGCCTGGAAAGCAGTTGAGGACAGCCTAAAGCCTTGGGACCCTGCACCCATGTGGGAGACCCGGAAGAAGTTCCTGGCTTCTGGCCTCAGATCAGCACAGCACCAGCCATTGTGGCCACTTGGGGTGACTCAATGGACGGAAGATCTTCCTCTCTATTTCTCCTCCTCTTTTTATATCTGCCTTTCCAATAAAAATAAATAAATCTTAAAAGAAAAAAAGAATGGGAGTCCCTGGAAGGTAGGGATGTGACTGTGGTTCCAGTGAGTGGCCAGGTGGGCTCCAGGCCAGTAGAGCAGTGAGTCAGAGTGTAGGGCACAGTGGGTCCTGGAAGAGATGGCTTTGGTGGTGAGGAGCCAGCAGCTGGGACTCAGCTCTTCCCGGTTTCCTGCAAGCTGAAGGTTGCTGTTCTGTCTGGGGTACCACACAGGGTAGCAGGTGCAGTTTCCAATCTCAGAGACTGCAGCCCTGCAGCTTCCTCAAGTGTAAAATGGAGCCCATCTTGTCCTAAAGGGTGGTTGTCTGGATTGAGCCGGGCACATGTTGTATCCACAGGGTGTGTGGTGGCCCTGAAAGAGGCCCCCACCGCACCCACGCTGTGCTTAAATAGCTCTTGGCCCGCAGGTGTACCCGGCCACTCAGGCCCAGGCTGTGATGGAGCCCTACGCCCGGTTGCCCCGCCACCAGCATGTGGCTTGGCCCACTGATGTCCTGGCTGGCACCCAGCACCTCTATGCCTTTTTCGCTCGGACCCACGGCGACATGCATAGCCTGGTGCGCAGCCTCCGGCGTCTTCCGGAGCCCGAGGCCGCCACACTCTTTCGCCAGATGGCCAGTGTCCTGGCGCACTGCCACCAGCACGGGCTGGTTCTGCGGGACCTCAAGCTGAGGCGCTTTGTCTTCGCCGACCACCGGAGGTGAGTGTGGCTGCTGAGAGGTGGGCTGGGCTGGGGTCACTGAAGTCGGGAAGGGAAAGGGGAAGCCGGTGGCAGGGAAGCCGATTTGGCCTCTCCCTGCTGCTGGGGAGAGTTGACATTTCCATCACAGCCCCTGCTCGGGGCAGTATAGCCAGGCTAAACCAGAGCGCAGCCCAGCGGATGTGGGAAATATGACTCTGCTCTTCCCGCTAGCCCGGCATTCTGGTGCTGTGGCACAGTGAATTAAACCTTTGTTTGCAGCCTTGGCCAGTTCACTCCCAGCTGCTGCACTTCCAGTCCAGCCGTGCACCTGGGAAAGCCATCTAAGATGGTTTGATGGGTCCCTCACCAGCATGGGAGATCTGGGAGAAGCTCCTGGCTTTAGCCAAGCCTTGTAGCCATTTGGGAGTGAACCAACAGATGGAAGAAACTCTCTGTGTAACTCTGCCTTTCAAATAATTGTTATTATTATTATTATTAAAAGATTTATTTATTTTTTATTGCAAAGTCAGATACACAGAGAGGAGGAGAGACAGAAATATCCTTCGCCTGATGGTTCACTCCTCAAGTGACCCCAATGACCGGAGCTACGCCAATCCAAAGCCAAGAGCCAGGAGCTCTTGCAGGTCTCCCACGTGGGTGCAGGGTCCCAAGGCTTTGGACCGTGCTAGACTGCTTTCCCAGGCCACAAGCAGGGAGCTGGATGGGAAGCTGGTCTGCCAGGATTAGACCAGCACCCATATGGGATCCCAGCGTGTTCAAGACGAGGACTTTAGCCACTAGGCCACTACGCAGGGCCCTACAAAATTAGTTTTTTTCTAAACTCACCTTGTTCAATCACCTGCTGGAGAGACCTTGAGGAAATGTGTGCCTCTCAGGGTCTTGATTTATTTTTTTATTCTCATACATTTTGCTGATTTATTCCTGAGGCAGAGACAGATGTCCCAATCTACTGGTTCATTCCCCAAATGCCCTTGAGAGCTGGTGTTCAGCTAGGCCTCTGCCATGGCTGCCAGGAAGCTGGTGCCAGGAGCTGCCATCCACTGCCTCCTTGGCGCTACATGAGCAGGAAGCCAGGGCCAGGAGCCAGAGGCAGGTCTCACACAGCCTCGGCCATGCGGGATGTGAGCATCTTAACCACTAGGCCAGGCACCTGACCCCTTGGAATCTTTTATTTTTTAAGATTTATTTTATCTATTTCAAAGAATGACAGAGATGGGCTAGCAATGTGGCACAGTGAGTTAAACTTCTGCCTGTAGCACTAAATACTCCAAATCAGTGCTGGTTCCAGTCCTTGCTGCTCCACTTATGGACCAGCTTCCTGCTGACCATAAGTGGCCTGCGTCCTTGGGTTCCTGCCCCCACATGGGAGACCCAGAAGAAGCTCCTGGCTCCAGACTGGCCCAGCTCTGGCTGTTGCAGGCATTTGGGAAGTGAAATCAATGGATGGAAGATCTCTCTCCCTCTCTCTGTGACTCTACCTTTCAACTAATAAAACAGAAGTTTTTTTTTTTTTTTAATTTTTTTAAGTGACAGAGAAAGGGGAAGAGACAAAAGGAAACAGAAATTTATCCCCTGCTTATGCCCCCACATGGCTGCGGTTGGGCTGGGTTAGGCTGAAGCCAGTAGCAGGAGCTCCATCCAGGTTGGCCATGTGAGTGGCAGAGACACAAGCCTTTTTTTTTTTTTAATTGGAAATGCAGATTTACAGAGGGAAGGAGAGCCAGAAAGATCCTCCCTGCACTGGTTTACTCCCCAAGTGGCCACAGCGGATTGAAGCCAGGAGTGTTTTCTGGGTCTCCCATGTGGGTGCAAATGCCCAAGGCCTTGGGTGACCTCTACTGCTTTCCCAGGCTATAAACAAGGAGCTAGATGGGAAATGGAGCAGCCAGGACACGAACTGGGATCCTGGTGCAGACAAGGCGAGGATTTAGCCACTGAGCCACTGAGCCATCGTGCTGGGCCCCCCTCAGGGTCTTAGATGAAACTGCAGTGTGATCTTGAGAAAAGCTTTAACCTCTCTGAGACTGGACTTGCTTGTGGGTAAAGTTTGAGGATGGGCTCCTGCTTGTGCAATGCCAGGAGGCGCTTGGGAATGGGCACTCTCAAGGGGTGATGGCATGAGTGTGGGGAAGGAGGATGTTCCAGACAGGGCCTGAACCCTCCGTGTCTGCCCCCAGGACGACACTGGTGCTGGAGGACCTGGAAGATGCATGTGTGCTCACGGGGTCCGACGACTCGCTGTGGGACAAGCACGCGTGCCCCGCCTACGTGGGCCCTGAGATCTTGAGCTCCCGAGCCTCCTACTCAGGCAAGGCGGCCGACGTGTGGAGCCTGGGCGTGGCGCTCTTCACCATGCTCGCCGGCCACTACCCCTTCCAGGACTCGGCCCCAGCCCTGCTTTTTGGCAAGATCCGCCGTGGAGCCTTTTCCCTGCCCGAGGGCCTCTCGCCTGCTGCTCGCTGCCTGGTGCGGTGCCTGCTTCGCCGGGAGCCCGCTGAGCGGCTCACTGCCCCTGGCATCTTGTTGCACCCCTGGCTGAAGGTAGCCCCTGGTCCCTCGATCCCACCCCGCTTCTGGGAGGATGACCAGGTGGTCCCTGAGGGACCAGGCCTGGAGGAAGTGGAGGGAGAGTTGGGTCTGTATGGCTAGAACTGGCCCTCTGGACCTGTAGTTGCAGACTGGAGGTGGAGCCTGGGGGTATCCAAGCTTCCACCTGCCTTTTGGACTCAGCCCTATCCTAAGTGCCTCCTAGGAGCTAGCAGGGGCACAGGGTGCCATCCCGGCTCCTGTCTCGATGCTCCAGGGTGCTGGCCCTGCCTGAGCCTGCGGACACAGCTGTGAGCCAAGGACACTGGAGTTCAGGGGTCACACTCTATCCTGCTCTCTCCTGCTGCCATCCATAGGGGCGGGCCCCCCCACAAATCACCCAGCTGCCTTTGAACTTGCTCCTGTCAGAGCACTGGAAGGTTCTCTATGCCAAAGGTTCCAAACCGCTGGCCTGCCTCTCAGGGAAACAGCCCCGGCCACTGTGGACTCCTGATCTTCCAGACCGGCGCCAGGTCCTCGCCAGCCCAGTTCTCAGCGGGCTCAGGCAGCGGTTGTGGGGTGTGAGGGAGCCTTGTCTGCCTTGATGACCTGTAACCTGAACACCACGATTGGGTGGGAGGGGCAGGGTCGGGGAGGCTCTGTCATGGTCACCTGCGAAGTCCAGGCCTGAACGGGGGATGCTTTTGCCCAGGACTCAGCACGCTGGGGCTGGACTCTCTGGTGTGTGCATTTTCACTCTGTACCTAGTTTGGGAGACTTGGAAAAATACTTTAATGTCCCAGAGAGACTTCGCTATCCTCCACTCATCTCTTAGTGCCTTTAAAACTGGCCCCTAGGGGTCAGTGCTGTGACATGGCGGGTTAAGCAGCAGCCTGTGATGTTGGCATCCTGGCTGCTCCACTAATGATCCAGCTCCCTGTGCATGTGCCTGGGCAAGCAACGGAATACGGGCCAAGTGCTTGGGCCTCTGCCATCGGCGTGGGAGACCTGGAGGGTGTTCCGGCTCCAGGTTCTGGCCCGGACCAATCCTCGCTGTTGTGGCCATCTAGGAATAGAAGATTGCTGTGTGTCTGCCTTTTGAATAAAATGAATCTTAAAACCGTCCCTGGTCAAGGCCAGAGGTGTATGTCACGTGTCTGTTGCAGCGGCGGCATTTGGGGAACAGACTCCCACAAATGATCTTCCCACACTCCCTCACTTTCTTCCTCTTTTCTTTTCCTTTATTTTTTTATTTATTTATTTTTTTAAAGATTTATTTTTATTATTTTTTCATTGGAAAGGCGAATATACAGAGAGGAGAGACAGAGAGGAAGATCTTCCGTCCGATGATTCACTCCCCAAGTGAGCGCAACGGGCCGATACTATGCCGATCCGGAGCCAGGAGCCTCTTCCGGGTCTCCCACATGGGTGCAGGGTCCCAAGGCTTTGGGCCGTCCTTGACTGCTTTCCCAGGCCACAAGCAGGGAGCTGGATGGGAAGTGGAGCTGCCGGGATTAGAATCGGTGCCCATATGGGATCCCAGCGTGTTCAAGGTGAGGACTTTAGCCGCTAGGCCACGGCGCCAGGCCCCTGTCTTATTTTTCTAAGTGGCTTAACCAAGAAAGGTGATTCACACAGAACAGGAAGCAGGCAGGTGCAGGGGTGGGGGGGAACACTGCCTGCCTGAACAGCTCTCGGGACTGTTGACAGAGACCCCAGCTCCAGAGGGGGAAGCTGCTTATGTCTCCATTGTCCCTGGTGATGGCTGCCGCAGCTGCCTGGGTCACACTGCACAGGCCCCTGCTGGGAGGGAGAGGCTTGGTACCTTGGAGTCAGGCCATCGGAGTTCAAGTCCTGGCTCTAACACTTGCCAGCTGCCTGACCCTCAGCAAATTTCTTTTTAAAATAATGTATTTTGGGGCTTGGTGCAATAGCCTGGTGGGTAAAATCCTTACCTTGCATGTGCCAGGATCCCATATAGGTGCAGGTTCTAATCCCAGCTGCTCCACTTCCCATCCAGCTCCCTGCTTGTGGTCTGGGAAAGTAGTTGAGGATGGCCTAAAGCCTTGCGACCCTGTACCCACATGGGAGACCTGGAGGAAGCTCCTTGCTTGGGCCTGGCCCACCTCTGGCTGTTGTAACTATTTGGGGAGTGAACCAGGGGATGGAAGATTTCTCTTTCTCACTGTAACTGTTCCTTTCAAATAAATACACAAACCTGGAAAAAAAATATTTAAAGAGGGAGTTTCTGAGAATGCTGCCCCTGTGATAATACAAACTCCGCTGTGACCTTGGCCAGCAGTGGGTGGAGCTTCACGGCTGGCCCAGTGAGTTAGGACTTTCCTGTCTGTGGGCACCCACTGAGTCCTGTTGAGCATCCAGGGACACTCACTGAGTCTTCCGTCGAGTTTCTGGCTCCGGGCTTCCGCTCAGCCACACCTGTTACAAACACTTTGGGTCATAATCCAGCAGGTAGGAACTTCTTTTTCCTTTTTTTTTTTTTTAAATTATTATTTCCTTGAAAGAGTGCAGATCTTCCATTCACTGATTCTCTACTCAGATGTTGGACCAGGTGGAAACCAGGTGTTTCATCCATGGTCTCCCACCCCACATGTAGCAGGGGCCTGAACACTCGGGCCATCTCCCACTGTTTTCCCAGGCCATTGGCAGGAAGCTGAATTGAAATACACCAGCCAAGACACAAACTGGTGCCCATATGGGATGCCGGCACTGCAGGAAGCAGCCTTACTTGGTGTGCCACTGCAACAGCCTGGAGAGCCCTGTCTTTCCCCCTTCTGCTTGTCTCTGAAGTGAAACAAAAACAAACGTAGGGGTGGGCCTTGGGTGCTGGTGTTAAGGCGCCTCTCACACCCTGTTAGAGTGCCCAGGCTCAGTCCTGGCTCCACTCCCAAACCCAGCTTGCTGCTTGGGTGCACCCTGGGGGGAGCCGACCTGAGCATGAGCACCCCCCAACATGCACACACAGAAACATGGTGGAGTTCTGGAATGATGGTGGCTTGGGGGAGATGTTAAGGTTATCTGAGAATGAGTGCATGGATCGATCTTTCAAATAAAAAGAACTAACATTTAAAGAACAAAGCCTAAACAAAAATCAACATTTGTCGCAGACCACTCTAAAACAGCAGCTCACAAACTGGGCTTGTGGCTGCAACCACAGGACAACATTCCACAGCCCCCCCACAGCCCTCCCCTGGCCTGCCCCAGCACTCCCCTGCCCTGCCCCAGCACTCCCCTGCCCTGCCCCAGCCCTCCCCTGCCCTGCCCCAGCATCCCCAGCATTCACTGTGCTGTGACCTGTGAAGTGGCCTGTGCGATTGCAATGTTCAGCTCCAGATGAGAATCACCGCCTTAGGGAACTTGTTTCAGACCAGATGGAAGTTGGCATCCCATCAACTAACCTAACTAAACTGCTACATTAGACGCTGTTCTGGATAAACACAGCCACCAGCAATGGGCAAGGTAGACAAAAGTCTCTATCATTTAGAAGAGGAAAACGGGTCCATATCAAGGTAAATATTCTAACTACTGAGCAGGAGACTGAAGGACTGGAGAAGCTGGTGCGTCTTTAGTTTCAGGTGCAGTGGCTGGGCAGACTTTGGGGTAGAGACCAAGAGCAATGATGAACAGGGCACCCAGATGGGTATCTGGGCTACGGAGAGGATAAAGGGCAAGGACGCCTGCGTGGCATGAGCCAAGACAGTGGTCAGAGTCAGGTGAAGTCAGAGGTCGGGGCAGTTTGCAGGGCACAGGGGACCTGGGCTTTTACTTGGGGTCCCGTGGGAGTTATTTGGAGGTATGGCATAGCTCAATTGACATTTTAATAGGTAATGGGGCGGGTCAGGTGGGAAGGGCGGGAATAGACTGGGTGATGGAGCAGCTCCGAGCCTCAGTGATGCTGGTTCCAGGACCACCAAGAGGCAGAGAACTGACAGGTGCGGCCCGGTGTGGGGTGGGTAACAGGGGTGGGAGTGGCAGCGACAGATTCTCTGCAGGCGCAGTCCGTGGGATCTGCTGAGCCACCGGGCATGGAAAGGCGAGTCACCGCTAGCGCCAGCGTCCGTCCCGGTGAAGGGTGGGTTGCGGGGCTTGCCCGACCTGCCAGCCAGAGTACTGGCCGCCTGGATGAAGAGGTGCGGGCTAAGGGTGCGCAGAGCAACCGCATGTTCAGCCACGCCTACCACAGTTCAGGCCCCGCCCCTGTCATCCCGGGTCCCACCCCTGTCGTGCATGCCCCACCCCGCCGGCCCGGGCCCCGCCCCTCGTCCAGCCCCGCCCACCTCAGGCCCCTCCCCCGGCCCGGGCCGGTCGGCGGCGGTGTGGGCCGGCAGGATCCGGACTCGGCTATCGGCGCCGGGCACGGGCTAGAGGACTGAGCGTCCGGGAACGCGTCCGGCCCGCCCCGCGGGGTCGGGGGTGGCCTGGGTGAGTGCGGCCGCCCACCTGGGGCCCACTTTTCCGGCTCCCGCCCGGACCCACTTCCGGGGCCGCCACTTTCACTTTCTCTTCGGCCGGAACCCCGCCCCTCCCCCTCCGAATCCTGGGGGGCGGCGGAGGGGTCTGGGTTCGGCCGTCACCCCGGCCGCCCGGAGACTAGCGGGGGCTCCGGCCCCGGGTTCGGCGCGCCCCCGCGTCCGCCGTGTTCCTCTTTCTCCTCAGGCTCGGGCTGGGCCCCGCTGCGCTCTGGCGGTCCCACGCGCGGCCGCCCGGCCGACCCTGAGCCCTCCTGGCCGCCCGCTCTCCCCCAGGTGACCCGAGGCAGCGTGAGCCGAACCGCAGCCCCTGAGGGGGATGGGCACAGCCACTCCTGATGGACGACAAGACCAAGCAAGGTGGGCGCAGCGTGGAGGCGGCTGGGGGGCTTGGGGAGGGAGCCGGCCCCCACCACCCGAGGGGCCTGCCGCTGTTTCCTCCTGGGGCACCCAGGCCCTCCCTGATCTCCTGTTCTTTTGCTCTTGTCTCCCCACTGTGCTGGAAGGGTGGGGAGGAGAGAGAGGGTCCCTGTTGGGTCTCCGTGCTGGGACAGTCAGTGACTGACTTAGTAGGAGGAGCTCGTTAGATGATTGTCAGATCCATGCATACCAGGCTGGAATGTGAACCCCAGGAGACTGGGGTGGGGAGCAGGGTTGGGAAGGACTTGGGGGGGATGAGACCGGGCTGGCCCCTGTAGAAATGGACATCCCACTGGATGGAAGGATGTGTGGGAGGGGAGGCGGCAGGGGACCCCCTTACTAACCTGCTGTTGCTGTGCCGGCCCCAGCGGAGGAGATGGCCCTGGGCCTGGCCAGGGCAGTGGCCGGCGGGGATGAGCAGGCGGCCAGGAGGTGCGCTGCCTGGCTGGCCGGGCAGCGAGTGCCGCTGAGCGTGCAGCTCAAGCCGGAGGTCTCCCCAGCCAAGGACATCAGGTGAGCTGGGCTGGGAGCAGTGTGCCTGGAGGCAGGTGCTGCTGTCAGGAAACCTGCTGTCATTTTGTTTCTTTTGCTGTTCTGTCTGTGTTGCTTTCTTTTTGTTTTGACAAAATATTTCAAAGTCACATATTTGATATATTAACTTATTGCACATAATCAAATATAGACATATATATAAGTATAATCAACTATACTTATACAAATGTAGTATATTTGTTGTTACATAAATATATTCAATAGATATATCAGATATGTTTGTTATTTAATTAGATATTTAACATATATTTAAGTTATAGATATATAATTTGGAGGGGGCGCGTGACAGGATAAGTAGAGACAGAACTTCCATTCACTGGTTCAGTCCCCAGATGATTACAATGGCTGCGACTGCATGAGGCCAAAACCAGGAGCCCAGAGTTCCATCAGGGTCCCCCACGTGGTGCAGGGTCGGTCCCCAGGCTTTGGGCCGTCCTCTGCTG